CCCCTCCTCCTTCTATATGGACCAAGGGAAGGAGAAAACCTTTCCAACTCTGGCTCGGGTCTCCTTGGCAACTGTTTATATCAGAGCCCTTCTCCCCACACTCTCCCCCTTTCCCATTAAAAAAAAAAAAAAGGGAAGTCATGTCGGCTGAATACAGCTCTTCTAGACACTAAAATGCAGTTGTGCAGGTTGCTATGGCAGGGCTGTTTCTGCATAAAGGAAGCCCTCATTGATCCTGCCGCCAGAGCGCCTCAGGATCACATTAAATTAGATCTGGTTCCTATCTTCCTCCGCACAAAAACACTGTGATCCAACAGAGCCAGAGACACTGGCTGCAGCATGGCAGCCCTATCTAGCCCTGTCCACTTGTAAGCTCACTGTGTGCCATCAAACAAACGTATCTTACACTCTCATCATGCACAAGGGGAATGCTCCCAACATTCCATTTGCTGCTGAGATGTCTTGCCTTCAGGAGCATCCCTTGAAAGACTCCAAAGCACAAAAAGTTAATGAGAAAGCCTAAGTATCCGTGCAGAGAAGCAGCTGGCCCAAGCCTGGAGTCCAGAGACCACAGAGCCTGGAATGGAACACAACAGTTTCCAATTAGGGCTCTGAACTTCTAAATTGGGAGCAGGAGTCTCTCTGGTTTAGGCTTTGCAAGTCAACTGCAGTCTACCATGTGGGGAAAATGAAAGGGAGGGTGTGCAAAAGTACTGAGTCATCTGGACAAGGATGAACCAAAATGCCCTGGGTGTGATTCATTTTGTTTCCAGTACCAAGCAACACTGAGAAGGATTTCTGAAAACTGCAGCTCAAATCAACCTTTCTGCACAGCGGAATTAATTTCTTCTGGGACTGTCCCCTGCCATTGGCAACACAGGAGAAAGTTGCTTTTGAACAGCTCCTTCTAGAGCCTAGCGTCTAGCGGCCAAGTTCTCCAGTCCCAGGGTAACAGGCACCCAAGGTCAGAGAGAGAGGATAAGAGCAGAGGCACAGCTATGCAATGGCAGGCAAAGCTGCAGGGAGGGACGAACTGCAGCGGGATGGAGTCTGCTCCAGGACCCTCTAACAAAGGAAGATGCCTCCCATTCAGCTGTGCACCATTTTTTCATGCTTTCAGTCACACAGCCTTGTGGCAGAAGGTGAATGGTCTTAAAGACCTGCCCTTGGTGGAAATAAGAGTGGTTCACTGGAAGCTAAATAAGAAACAATGTAGACACAACAGCCCTGCCATCATGTGCAACCAGAAGGGAAAAGGGAATGGGGGTGAGGGAGGATAATGACAAGAGGCAAGAGGGGAGGGGTATGATAAGAGTGAAAGTAGAGGCGTAGGGAAGTGAAACCTTGGGTTGAAATCCTCGTTCTAGCACCTACTAGCTATGCAATATTGAGCAAGTTGCTCTACCTTTCCTTGAATTAGCTTTGCCATTGTTGAATGGGATAAGATCACCCCTTCAATGGGCTGTTGAAGATCAAAGGATTATGCAAACAAAGCGTTAGCATAGAATTCTTCCTCCAGACTTTGAAACCTGTGTTATTGGTGCCCTGCTCCCATCCTTTCATCCTCCCACTGTAACTCACATCAATTCCTGCTGGGTCAGTGCCAACAGGCTCCTGGCAGATCTTCTTGCTCCTAGACCAGCTCCCTCCAACCCAACCCTCATACTGTTCTTCAAGGACCACTCTCAGGACCCTGCCCTGATACACAGTCCTTCACTAGCTCCCTGTTAGTTTCAGACAAAATCTCCACCCTGAGGAAGGCCCCTGAGGCACTCCAAGGTCCAACCCCTGGCCTCCTCTCTCCAGTCTCAGCTCCCATCTTTCCCCGAATGACTTGGAGACCTATACCCTGGCTCTACCAAGACACACCTTTCCCAGAGCAGGCCCTGCTTTCTTTTGCCTCTGAGCTTTTGCACACATAGCAGCTCCTTCCATTGAAGTCCTCCCTCAGCTTCCTACTCAGTCTCCCAGACTCAGTTCAGGGGCACCTCATCCCTGACATACCCCTGGGGGGTCCCCTCGTCTTCATTTCCACCACCCTGGGCTGTTAGTGCACTCATCACTTCGTACCATGCTCATTTCCCCCAACTGCATGGGAGTCTCTTGAGGACATTCGGCTTTACTTTTCTCTGTGTCCCAACGCCTGGCACCTGGAAATGCACCTGCCAGCATCAAGTGCCCTGATGATGCCCAGTGAGGTCAAGAGGGCAACTGATGCTCAGCTCTGTACCGCTTTTCCTAGATGGGTAACGTCTGCCATTTCAGGCACTGACCAGAATGGCAAAAAACAATCCCAATCTCACCAGGAAACAGGGATGGAAGAAAGGGCTGGTGACATTCCCCTCAGGAGTCAGGTGGCAGCAGAAAGCCCAGTCCTGTGCTTGCAGAGTGTGTAAGTATCCTGAGCCAATTTTCACGGCTGGTTGGTGGGGGGCTTCAGGTACTGTCCACTCTCCACATCCACAGAGGCCTTCTCAAGTGTTTTTCTCTTTGAAAAAATTGATTTGTGTTTCTATTTTCCTGTCTGGAGAAGCCAAGGACCTCTCTATAGAGGAAGTGACCTTGAACTGGATGTTGCAATAGCCATAGCTCACTTTCCATCTCTTGGCATTTAGAGATAAAAACAGACGTAAATGACGACCTGCAGCCTTGACACCTGGCTTCGCTGTCCAGAGTGAGCCCACAAATAAAAGGCCACTTAGGAAATGTGGGCCAGATTCTCTCTTTTTTTTTTTTTCCCAAAAGAAGCTATAAATTTGAATGTTCATGTGAAATTGTCAGCCTTTTAATGTTCTAATTAAAAAAAAAAAATTTAAACAAAAACCTGTGTAAGCCAAACACAGCCAGTGGGCCACAGTCTTCCCTACAGACAGTCATACATACAGATCTAGCATTGATCAATTTATTAATAATGTTGTTATGCACCAATGAGTCGGTTTTGACTCATAGAGGCCCTACGTACAACAGAACGAAATACTGCCTGGTCTTGTGCCATCCTCACAATTGTTGTTATGCTTGAGCCCATTGTTACAGCTACTATGTCAATCCATGTGGTTGAGGGTCTTTCTCTTTTTCACTGACCCTCTACTTTACCAAGCATGATGTCCTTCTCCGGGGACTGATCCCTCCTGACAACACGTCCACAGTATATAAGACGTAGTCTCACCATCTTTGGCTGAACGGTGAACCTCGGGAGTGACTTCATTATTGAGCTATATATAAGGGTGTCGGGGGGCCATACTCTCGGGGTTTCTCTAGTCTCTGTCAGGCCAGTAAGTCTGGTCTTTTTTTGTGTTAGAATTTTGTTCATTTTTCTCCAGCTCTGTCCGGGACCCTCTGCTGTGATCCCTGTCAGAGCAGCCAGTGGTGGTAGCCGGGCACCATCTAGTTGTACTGGACTCAGTCTGGTGGAGGCCGTGGTAGTTGTGGTCCATTAGTCCTTTGGACTGATCTTTCCCTTGTATCTTGTTTTCTTCATTCTCCCTTGCTCCCGAAGGGGTGAGACCAGTGGAGTACCTTAGATGGCTGCTCACAGGCTTTTAAGACCCCAGACGCTACTCACCAAGGTAGAATGTAGAACATTTTGTTTATAAACTGTGTTATGCCAGTTGAGCTAGATGTTGCCCGAGAAAAAAATACATTCTGACACCAACACTAAGCAGGTACTACAGCCATGAGCTGTACTGGATGACTTCATAAATATCACTTCACTTAATACTCAGAAGAGTCCCGTAAGATAGGCATTATTACCTCCATTTAGCAGATGAGGAAACTGAGGCAGAGTGAAGTTAAAGCTCTTGCCCAGGATTTGCACAGCACTGGAGTATAAGCCTGATGAGTACAAGGATTTCATCTATTTTAGTCACTGCTGTATCCACAAACCCTAGAAAAAAGTCTAGGACACAGTAGGGCTTCAGTTAACATTTCGCTGCGTGAATGGGTGATGAACATAAGATCGAACCCAGGTTTTTAAAAAATTTAAGTTAGTGCCCTGTCAATGGTAGAGAAGACTATTCTGTGAATATCTGCTTTAACATTTAAAGGATATTAACTTTTCTAGGAGAGAAAGCTGTTACCCAAATTGGACTAGGGAATGAAAGTGACTTGATGGCAACCTGAGTGCTTCACCCTGCCCAGCCTGGGGAATGAGCAGGGCACCCATGCTATATACCCGAGACCTGCCCCTTGCCAAGCCCAGGGAGCACCCCAGGGCAGGGCTGTGCCCCTAGAGCTCTCAGCACAAGACTTGGCCTGGCAGATCCTCACTCACACCTGACTGAGGCTTCTGGAGTCTGATACTGGGGTAGAACACAGCCAAGAGTAAACATGAGAAAATGATTCTGGCTGCAGAAGTCTAAAGTCTTGAGAATGATTTTCACACGTGGCTTATGGAATTCAATCTTAGGGAGACAGTGGTATAGGGCAATGCTTACCAAAATTGGTCACATCTTCACAATAAATTTTTCATGTCTACATACCATCTGTATTATTATTTTCTTGGTGTTTTTCTTCAATGGTCTTAGACTATGTGATTCTATGCAAAAAGCACTGCTATGATCCCCTCTGTTTATAAAATGGAAAGATCACGGGGCTCAGAGTAAAATAAAAATGGTTCCAGCTCTGTCTAGCTCTGCCATTTCCTGGCTGATGACCTTGGCCAGCTCCTATAACGCCTCTGACCCTCACGTTCTTTATCTGTAAAATGGTGTTTTCTACTTTGAATGGTTGCTGTGAAGATCAAATAACAAAAAAGTACCTTGCAAATTCTAAAATGCTGTGTACGCGTAAGAGATTATTAAGGTAGATCTGAAGCATAGTCTACCAGTAAGGCAAAACCCAAGACTCAACCCAAAAGGCTGCACGAAATCTTGCTGCTCTCTCAGCGAGCGCACTCCTGCCTGAGGCCCAGGTACAGGAACGCTGCTTTGAAGGATGTGAGAGGTGCTCTAGAATGTGGAGAAAGAAAAGCGACAAAGGGGCTACCGAGCAGTGTCACTTACGCTGGTTGGATTTTGGTGAACACAGGGACTTCATCTTTTCTCTTTCTAAACATGAACCAGTAGCTTAGGAGACCCACAATGAGTGAAAATAGAATTACGTCCATCATGCTGAAAAGAGACATTTCTTCAGTCACTGCCTCAGACACAGTGGCGCTGGTATCTACGTTGGAGTCCCCCATGTTGCTCATGAACCTGTTAGGAGAGAGAAAAAACATCATCATTAGGGAGGAGCAGGGTCCATCCCATTGGTCAGTGAGGCCTGTTGGGGAACTCACCAAAAAGCTTCTAGGTGGGCCTCATGCCCAAGTGCTGCAGAAAACAGACCGAGCACTGTGGGCAGGAGGTGTGGGCATGCTCAGCCAGGTCCGGTCAAGAGTCAGCTGCAGCCTTGCATGGGAGCTAAAACAGCAAATGGCTCCGGTGGCGTCAGCTTCAGCCCAGGGTATGCCTTGGATACAGGCTAAGGCTAGAGCTAGGAATGGATCCACTGCAACTGAGCAAATGGAAGCCCCAGACTTCTGGCACCATCAAACATTCTCTAGTCCCACATGGACACAGTGGACAGGTTGGTTCCATACGAGAGAGGGGGCTACTTTGCAGCAAACCCTTTCCCCAACTGTGAAGTGAAGCGTTAACTCAGCAGGCCTGGATTGCCCCAAACCCTGCATATTCCATAGATCTTCAGGACTGGCCCCTGGAATACCCTACCTGATAAGAGTATCTTTGTGTACTTGAGACCTTGGGCCATGCCAGATAATTTATGCTAACAACGTGATTTATGGTGAAATGCTTGTTTTTGTTCATCTAGGGTTCTGGTCACACTGTATCAGTTTGACCTCTGGGGGGCTGGAAATTGAGTAGCTAAGGTCAGTCACAAGGATGCTTCATGCCATTGGACTGACCCCCAGTAAAATCCCTGGACACCAAAGCTTGGGTGAGTTTCCCTGGTTGGCAACACTTCGTATGTGTTGTCACTCATCATTGCTGGGAGAATTAAGCACTGTTTATACCTCCTCTGGGAGAGGACAATCAGAAGCTCATGCCTAGTTTCTCCTAGACTCTGCCTCTACACCGTTTTCCTTTGCTTATTTATATCTGTATCCTTCTGCTGTAATAAACCATAACTGTGAATGTAACAGCTTTTCTGAGTTCTGTGAGTCTTTCTAGCGAACCACTGAACTTGAGGGTGGTCTTGGGGATCCCCAACATGTCAACCTAGTTCCCCTGAAGGATGATCAACTGATCCTTCCACTATTGAAATCTTCCAGGTAGACAGATCTGATATGAGTGAACAAAGGCCAGAGTGACAGTACCTGAAACCTCAGTAGTTTACTTCTGCCCCTTATCAGCAAGGCTGGGCTCAGCTTCAGAATCTGAATCATCTCATTTTGTAATCAGTGCTATTTTCAAGTGGGGCCACTTTTACCAGAATCACGGCTCACTCAGTGAGGAATGCCTTAGTCATATCTTAGCAAAGTGAAATTGCTTCATATGACTTCTGTTAGCTGTCACTGCCTTCAGGAAACCACAGAGCTGACCCTGAGCAGGTAGAGCACCCTAACATCAGAGGACTCTGGGCATTGTCCCACCATCCTGTAACCTACTGGGAACAGGCCACTCAGAACAGGCCCTCAAGCTTGGTTCTGGGACTTGTTTTCTCATTGCTTGGAGGTGTTCTTCTAATGGGTGACATCCTGAGATAATCTCAGTTTATCCAACATTAAAAAGCAAATTTAACTCCAGTGTCCACAGAGAATACTATTCATATTTAAGTATTAGCTTATAAACACATTTAGTATTTAGTCAATGTTGGTCATGCCTTTCTATCTAGCCCTATCACAGTTGTCTGTCAAGCCCATAAACCTCTGTCAAGCTCCCACAAAACCATGGACAGAGAGGCATTTAGGACCTGCTTTGATGACTTCTGGAAGGACCTGTTCCACAGAACCATGACAGAACAGGCATTCTGAGTCTGACTGGAACCAGCTGGGTGTTTTTGTCAGAACGTTAGACACTGCCTGGCAATCAGACCTGGGGTCTCAGTAGAACGGAGAATGTTCTAGTAGCTTTGACTCTGAAGTGTAAAACAATTTCTGACAGAAAAGGACTGCAAAGTGCAGTAGAAAGGACCCCAGAGATCATTTTATCCAAGCCCTGGCCCTAAAAATGGAGAATCTAAGGCCCCAAGGGAGTAAGTAGCTCAACCAAGGTAAAGGTTAATGAGAGGCAAAGGGCCGTGTTCACCACCCATCTAAGTAGAAGAGTTAGTTGTACACGTGTCTCTCTCTCGTGCTCTGCTGTGAGCTCCATGAGGGAAAAGAACAGTGTTTGATTAATCAAATAATTTCATAAATATGAATCGGCACAAAGCTGATTCCTATGAGGCAGACGTCAAATATATCCCAGATTTCCAATTTCTCCAAGCTGCTGTGCCAGTCCATCTCCGACACCAGCCATTCCATGTCCCGTCAGCACTCTTCCCTCTCCCATTTGGGTTCAGCAATTCACTGCAACACCTCACAGAACTCACAAACTGTGCTTACAGTTAAATGGTTTATTAAGGAAGTGATAAGCTACAACTCAGAATCTGGATCCACTTGGAGGTAACAGGCTGCAGCTTGGGATTAGGATCAGGAAGCATGTAGGAAAGGTCTGGAAGGATCCCCCAAAACAGGAGTACCTGCCACCCTTCAGTGCGGAACAGCTTTCTCAGCTTCTCTCGGCCATGCAAGCAAGCAGGCCCTTCTCTCAGCTCTGCACGCCCCCTCTGGGCCATGCAGGCTCCCTCTCCGCTGTGCTAGCAGGCCCCCCTCTCAACTGTGCTAACCTCCTCTTGGCCGTGCATACTGCACACCCCCTCTCCGCTGTGCAGGGCTCCTCTCAGCCGTACACACCCCCTCTCAACTGTGCAGGCCTCTCTGCCTTCAGCTTTCCCACTGTCGGCCTCTCTACTGCTAACTGGCCCCTTCTCACAGCCAGTGTGACAGCTTGCTCAACTCTCTTAGCTGCTTTCCTGGCAGCAGCTTTCTGCCGTCACCAATGACTCTGTAGCAGGTCCCCTTCCAGGCCTTTCGCTCTCTTCGATGTTACAGTCTTTGACCCATTTTACAGCTCTTTTAGAAGGTTCCTCACCTCCTCTCTCTGCTTCTTCTTTCTTCTCTCCTTGCTTCTAAAAACCTCTGTAGGGTTGGCTGCTTATATAAGCAAACTCCTGGTCAATTTCAAGGCATGGCCCTCCCAGCAAGACTACAAACTGAGCAATCTTCTTGATGGATTGCAAGTCACTCAATTTGCATAGTAAATCGACCAATCCCTGCAGGGTGTGTAAAACAGACCAATCACAGGGCTGACCACAGCCCAGGGCCAAACAAAAAGTTGTTTACAGCTTACCCAGGAAATGTCAACCAACCTGGACAAAAGTAACAAACCCTCTAGGGTAAAAAAACAACCTGGGAGCCCCTCCTCCAAGTTGCTTCTTCAAAGGACTAGGGCAAACATAGCTCCTCTGGGCTTAGGGGGAAAATCTCTTAAGTTGTTTTTTCCCAAGAACCGAGGCAAAAGGCCACATAAAAGAACTCGTTTCACCACACTCATGCACCTCTGTATCTGGCACATGGTGGGGAAGGTAGGGCTGGCACGCTGGCAAGAAGAAAGTCCACCTTGTTAAGTTCATTAACATGAGGATATGCAGCAACGTGCTTGTAGGCTGAAGCCATGAACAGACTGTTAAGTCATTTAAGTCATTATTTTCACACTGAAGCAAACATAAATACCCACTCATCTCTCCGATCTCATCCTTAGCTACCCTCCAGTTTGCATCTCTATATTCCTGCCCCAGAGCCTTCGTGTGCTCCTGGAATGCCCTGCGCTAGTTACTCCTACTCATTCTTCAGACCTCAGCTCAACTGTCATTTTTATGCACCACACTCTCCTGGCTTGGCACGTACTCTAGTGCTCAATAACTATTCACGGAGTGAATGGAATAAATATATTATGACACACAGAAAGTAAAATTTCTATGATCAATAAAAGAAGACATGAAGATTCAGAAGAAATTTTATGCTTGTAATATGTCTATTTGGCAATCGTCTAGGACAGAAGTTCCCAAACTGTCTTGGTTCATAGAGCCCTTGGTATCTCAGTAATTGTCTATGGTATCCTTAGGCCAAAAGAAATATCTAACAGTTTATTTATAAAGTAGTTAGGCCCAAATGCCCACTGGAAACCCAGCTTTGCAAAGACACAAAGTCATCAAAAGGGATGTAGCATGATTCAGTGTTGAAACTGCGAATCACCTCAAGCTAGAAATTCACATGGAGTTTGACATGTGTTGATTTTCAACTTTCCCTGCCTTTGAATATGAGTTTGCTGCAGTGTACCGAGGCACCCAGGCACGGTATGGGAACTAAGACCCACAATATAAAATCACTCTCCTCTGCTGTTTGAAGCACTTTGATAAAAAATTGTGGACGTCCTTCCTGATGGCTGGAAGCTCCTCTTCTCCATTTCAGGTCGTGGCAAAGTTGACCACCAGTCAGTCTGTCTGGGGTCCCCGCAAGGCACTCCAAGGACACTTTAGGAATCCTGAGCAATCGTTCTGTCCTGGAAGGGTCTTTAATCTGAGTCATTTATTCTTCCCACCTTCAGTGGAGAGGAGGAACATATGACAACGCACAGTTCACTGGGACACATGCAACATTTACCAGCAACAGGGGAAAAAAGAGGAAATACCAAAACAGTAACTTCTGGACTAGAGCACGCCCTTGCCACAGCCCTGTCACCAGCCGGCTGGGATCTTGGGCAAAACTCTCACCATCAGTAGGCTCTGATCCCATCTATAAAATTAGGCACAGAAGAAGAGGTATGCCAAATGACCCCTAAGTCTATCCACCCTACTCCCTTGTCCTGAACAGAGCAAATCAGATTTGCTCTTTTATTACAAGTTAGGACTCCACATAAGAGTTTTCATTTTTATAAAACACCACATACAGAACAGAGTGAAAACTATATATGTATAGTTTGACAACTATTCTTCCTGAATTGCAACAGCTGGCCAGTCCCCACTGATGTGGGGGGGGGGGGTAAGGGGGAAGCAGGGTAAGGGAGGTGGGGAGGGCGGAGGGAGGTATCTGAGTCTGTAGGCAGCCCAGCACACCTGCAGAGCAGGACAGACAAACTACTGCCACTCAGAGCCAGGAGGAACTTAACCAGCTTCTGAAAGGAAGAATGGAAAGGTCCTTTCTCCACTGACTGCTTACAACATTGGAGCATAAGGTCATTCTCCAGAAAGTCTCTGCAGCTGCCTTTACGCAACTTCCAGTTAGTAAAGAAGATTGACCAACCCCGGCACTGACAAGCCGTCACAGGATGGAAGGGAGGAAGGAAGCAAAGAAGAAGAAAGCAACCAATTTAGCCAGCCCCTTCATATGCAAGTCACCCAGCTGCAGGCAGTCACTGTCAACTCACAGCAGCTAAAACAAGGACTTGGCTTTTGTCCCCGCCCGCTGCAGTGGGAACAGGGTCTACTTAGGTTCGCAAACCTCTGCCAAGACCTGGAGGCTTCAAGACAAGGAAAAATCCTCAAGGAAACACACCCTACTCCTGTCTAACAGCTCAACCTCCAGAGTGAGAGATGCTGGGGCGGGGCGGGAAATGGGGGAGATGGAGGGGAGTGCAGTCCCTAAGGCAGCCTGCTAGAAAGCAGTGCCCAGAAGAGCAACTCTATCTATAGCTAGAGGATCCATAAAATGTATTACCCAACTGGACATTTTTGGTATGGATTTCTTTGGGCTTATCCTTTTTGGGGTTTGCTCAGCTTTTTGAATCTGTAGGTTTATGTCTTTTGCTAAATTTGGGAAATTTTCATCCATTTTTTTTCCAAATACTCACTCTCTCTCTTCTCCTGCTAGGACGCTGATGACATAAATGTTAGATCTTTTTTCTTTATTAGTCCCATAAGGCCCTGAGTCTCTGTTTATATTTTTTTGGTCTATTTTCTCTCTGTTGTTCAGACCGGGTAATTCCTATTGTTCTATCTTCAAATTCACAGATTCATTTCTATGTCCTCTCCATTCTGCCGTGAAGCCCATTCATTGAGGGGGTTTTTTGCTTTTTTTTTTTGATATTGTATTTTTTTACTTCTAAAATTGTCATTTGGTGACTCAAGAGGAAAAAGAAAGTCTCAACAGTCGCATAACAAGTGAAGAGATCAAATCAGTGATCAAAAACCTCCCAACAAAAATAAAAGTCCTAGACTAGATGGCTCCACTGGGGAATTCTACCAAATATTTAGAGAAGAACTGACACCAATACTGTTTAAATTCTTCCAAAAGATAGAGAAGGAAGGACTATTCCCTAATCCATTCTACGAAGCGAACATAACCCTGACATCTAAACCAGACAAAGACACCACAAGAAAAGAAAACTACAGGTCAATATCTCTTATGAATATAGTTGCAAAAATCCTCAACAAAATACTAGCAAATAGCCAATGTCATAAAACAATATGTGTACTGACTGTTTAATGAGAAACTATTTGTTCGGTAAACCTTCATCTAAAACAATAAAAAAAAAATACTAGCAAACAGAATCCAAAAACATATTAAAAGAGGTGTACATCATGACCAAGCAGGATTTATTCCAGGAATGCAGGGATGGTTCAACAGTAGAAAATCAATCAATGTAATACACCACATCAATAGAACAAAGGAAAAGAATCACATGATCATCTCTATGGATGCAGAAAAAGTATTTGATAAAATCTAACAGCCTTTCTTGATGAAAACCCTAAAGAATATTGGAATAGAAGGGAAATTCCTCAATATGATTCAGGGCATATATGAAGAGCCAACAGCCAACATTATACTTAATGGAGAGAGACTAAAAGAGAGCTTTCCCCTTGAGATTGGGAACAAGACAAGGGTGTCTGCTCTCACCACTTCTATTCAATATTGTATTACAAGGCCTACCCAGATCAATACGACAAGAAAAAGAAATGAAAGATATCCAGGTTGGAAAGAAGAAGTAAAATTATCTCTATTTGTGGATGATATGATCCTATAGAGAGGAAGTTCCAAAGAGTCCATAGGAAAACTTCTAGAGCTAATAGAAGAATTTAGCAAAGTTGCAGGGTACAAGGTCAACAAACAAAAATCACCTAGATTTCTATATACCAGCAATGAGAAATCTGAAAGGGAAATTAGGGAAACAATTTCATTTACAATAGCATCTAAGAGAATAAAGTACCTAGGAATAAACCTAACCAGGGACGTGAAGGACTTATCCAGTGAAAGTTATAAAACATTGCTGAAAGAGATTAAAGATGACTTAAATAAACAGAAAGATGTTCCATGTTCTTGGGTTGGAAGCTTTAATATTGTTAAAATGTCAATACTACCCAAAGTGATCTACAGATTCAATGCAATCCCAATAAAAATTCCAACAATCTTCTTTACGGAAATAGAAAAACCAATCCTTAACTTTATGTGGAATGGTAAGAGGCCCTGAATAGCTAAACCAATGTTGAAAGAGAAGAACAAAGTGGGAGGACTCACATTTCCTGATTTTAAAACATATTATACAGCTACAGTAATCAAAACAGCCTGGTACTGGTGTAACAGTAGACACATAGACCAATGGAATAGAATTGAGAATTCAGAAATAAACCCACATATCTATGGTCAAATGATTTTTGACAAGGATGCTAAGTCCATTCGATGGGAAGAGTCTTTTCAATAAATGCTGTTGGGAAAACTGGATTTCCACATAAAAACAGAAAAATGAAACAGGATCCATGCCTCACACCATACACAAAAACTAATTCAAAATGGATTAAGGACCTAAAATGTGCAAACCAAAACCATAAAATTCTTAGAAGAAAATGCAGAGGCAACACTGTTGGCCCTAGCTTTTGACAATGGATTACCTAATATAATAACAAAAGCACAAACAGTAAAAGATAAAATAAATAAATGGGGCCTCATAAAAATTAAAAACTTTTGTTCATTAAAAGATTTCAGCAAAAAAGTGAAAAGACAAGTTACCAACTGGGAGAATACCTTTGGAAGTCATATATCCGATAAGAATCTAATACGCAAAATAGATATAAAACTTCGATAACTTAACAACAAAAAGACAAAAATAACCCAATCATAGAATGGGCAAAAGACACGAATAGACATTTTGCCAAAAAGGACATTTAAAGGGCCACTAAACACATGAAAAGATTCTTAATGTCATTAGCCATCAGAGAGATGCAAATCAAAACCTCAGTGAGCTACGATTTCACTCCCATTAGGATGGCTAAGTTAAGAAAAAAAAATAATAATAGTAACAAATGTTGGTAAGGATGTGGGGAAATCGGAACCCTTATCCATTGCTGGTGGGAATGCAAAATGGTACAGCGGTTGTGGAAAACAGTGTGGCGGTTCCTCAAAAAAACTAAAAATAGAACTACCATATGACTCAGCAATTCCACTCCTAAGTATATACCCAAAAGACTGGAAAGCAGAGACTCAGAGACTTGTACACCAATGTTCACTGCAGCACTTTTCACAATAGCCAAAAGGTAGAAACAACCTAAATGTCCATCAACAGATGAATGGAAAAACAAAATGTGGTACATACATACAATGGAATACTATTCAGCCAGAAGAAGAAATGAAGTCTTGATACATGCTACAGTATGGATGGAGCTTGAAGACGTTATGCTGAGTGAAATGAGCCAACTGCAAAAGGACAAACATTGTATGACCTCACTCATATAAAAAAAGAAAAAGCAAATGTATAGAGACCAAAGTTTATTAGTGGTTACCAGGGTGGGGG